ACAGTCTCCCGGTCATGGTCTCCAGGAGCAATCCTGAGTGCTGGAGAAGGAATGTGGGCTCAGGAGTTGGGCAGGAGCCAGCTCCAGAAAAGGGACGCAGGGGCACTGGCCTTCACCTGGCTGGGTCTCCTTCCTTTTCTCAAAGACGGCAGAGGGGAAGGCTCTCGACGCAGGGAGATTTGTATTCCATCTTCCATCTCTGTCTCTGACGTGCTGCTCGTGACTGACGTTCACTGGGTTGTCGGAGGGTTCACACGAGTGGGCTACAGTGCAGGGCAGGGCCTGGCACGTGTTAAAGTCTTGATTTTGCCCCGGTGTGCCCGTGAATCCTTCTAGAGCCTGGAAGGGCTCTGCAGTGGAGGGAAGGGAGAGGTGTGGGGGGCAGGGCAGAGCTGTGTGAGCGGAGAGGGGAGGAAAGGCCTCTGCGCCCCCCAAGACACACAGAGGCAGGGAAGCTGGATGAACACTCCACAGGAGAGGGAGCTTGTCTGGTTCCAGGAAGTCTGGATGATCTAGACGTGCTCCCAATTCTCTGCTTAAAGTGATGAAGTCAGAGAGACCGGGAGTCTGGGGGCCTTTGTGCTGGAAGGGATGTGGGCGCTGACCAGCCAAGGGACCTGGCCTGGGGGCAGCCGCACAGCCTCAGGAGTCAGGCCCAGCAAAATTAAGCCCAAGCATCTCCACTTCCTCATGCCTGTGACCTTGCGTGATTACCGAACTCCTCTGAGACTCAGTTTCCTCATCAGGAAAATGGGAGAGACACTAAGGTTGCTGTGAGGACCAGAGGTGATGCGTGTCAAGGGTCCGGCACAGGTCAGGGCGACACCAGGGCAGAGCATGGGTTTGAAACCCGCTTAGAAGCCATGTGACCTGGAGCTTGGTGCTTCACTGCTCTGTAGAAATGAGATTGTAGTTGCTGCCCCATTGGGTTATGGTGAGAATTAGAAATAATATAGCGGGCCGGGCGCGTGGCTCACGCCTGTAATCCTAGCTCTCTGGGAGGCCGAGGCGGGCGGATTGTTTGAGCTCAGGAGTTCGAGACCAGCCTGAGCAAGAGCGAGA